GGGTGGGTATTTTCTAATAAATAAAACATTAATTTAAAACCAAAAAGAGAATGTTAAATCTGATAAACCACATGGATCAATCGTATAATTTTGTCTAACAATAATAATAATAATGATAAGGGACCATTTTTGCCAACAGACAAAATACTAATAATATGTAATAAAAGGCGAGGGTTATGAAAAATTCAAACCAAAGTGAAAGGGTTGTTTGTGAACAAAAGCATAAAGATGAAGGGTCAATGTTGTAAGCTGGAGAAGCAAAATTGACAAAAAAAAAAAGTTAAAATCTTTCATAACTTTAATATATATATAATAATATCTCAATTTTTTTTTTGGTTTTTAAATCGACAATAATGTCTGGTTTATTATTATATTTAATGTAAAATTCAAATTTAAGACAACATAAATAGTGTTTCAAAAGCATGATTATTAGATTAACTTGGTAAAATCCCACATGTTAGATTTTTAAAAATAATTATGTTTTTACTATTAATGTTACATTGATAATTTTTATATTAATTTAATATAATACATTAGATTTTTATATGGTAAAATAATGTGTATTTTTAGCAAACCCCATAAAAATTATTACGTTGAAAGATCACCAAGAGTTCTTTCATACAAAACATTTCTAATCAAAATTGTTAAAATCATGATCTTAGTCCTAGAATCATACAATTCTACAATATCATCTAGGTAAATAGATTATGATCATGCTATGATCGTTTTTTGGGTGGGATCGGAGGTAATATCATAAGATCAATTGTAAGATTGTTATTGTTATTATTATGATTTTAAAATTAATAATATTTTGGCTTTAACTATTGACTAACAAAGTAAATCCAATACAAACACTACAAAACTTCTTTTGCATTGTTTATTGTTAAACGATTTATTTGAGATGTATTTTCAGGCTTTAAAATATTTATTGTGAACTCATAGATTAATATGTTTTAACTACTTTTGGTATAATTTTATGATATCGATTCGATATTACGATCATGATTTTGCAAAGCGGAAAATGATCATTTATATATATTATCACGATCTTAACAAACTTGTGCCAAGGAATAATGAGGTGTATCATCCTCGGCAAGATCAGTTCGGGTATGCCAAACCCGAACATTAGCTGAAGGAAGAAGCACTAAGGCCGGTACCAAGAGCAACATTGCGCTAAACCGAAGAGGATTCATCTGAACCGCTCGAATGGTCATATGAATCGTGCAACGTGTCCAATGAAATCAAATCAAATAAATAATGGTAATGACACTAACCAGTCTGTAATAGACCAACGGATCATAACAACACATACGTTCTAGGCAACAAGACTAATGGCATTTCGTAAGTACTACTTTTGTACCCTTGGCCCTGTATGCATATATGGCAACTAGACTGGCACATGCTCGACTCACCCATGTCGCCACTTCCCCATGAATAACGACATAAAAGCAGACTAAAACTAATGAGAAAGGTATGCAAATTCGATCTGATTCACTGTTCATGTCGAATCGTTCTCTATCTCGCTTCTAACTTGAGCATCAGAGCGCTCTCCCAGGAAGAATTCCTAGTGAACGTTTAATGTTTTGTTGTGCTCTTCAGGTTCAGTTCGTCCTTATCGTGACATCCATTTGGGATTCAGGTCTCGAAGAATCTGAGGCGCATCAAGTGGAGCCATCTGTGAGACCACAGAATATATGGTCATCGTCGGTAATCCCACTGATAACGTAATGAGCGGAGGATGAGAGATTCAAGTGAAGTGGAGCAGGCAAAAGAGTACCATAAGGCCTTCGGGGGGCTGAATTTCAGGTTGTTGTTCACAAAAGATATAAACAATACTCTGATCCCCGTCGGATTAAATGGGCCTAGAGTCAAGCCTTAAGATGACACATGGGATCCAGACGACCATGTGTCGAACTTTCATTGGGCAATCAAGTTGATGCCTATGGATCCCAAGCTCTGGAGATTATACTTCGCATGAACTCTCGACTGTCGGCTCGGTATCAACTAGCTAGCCTTCCTCCCAGAAGCATTAAAAGTTTTGAAGAACTGTGCACGAAGTTCTACAATAGCTTTAATACAACAATGGAGATTTCAACAACAAGGTTATACTATACTCGCTTGCCGACAAGGAGAGGGGGAATCCAACAAATCTTACATCAGGAGATTCAACGAAATCAGTCGTAGAATGCCAATTAGAGATGAACCCATGGTTATCACTACATTCACGTATGATCTACTAGAAGGTGAGTTATTCAGAAAGTTGGTAAGAAGAGAATGGGCCAACGTTGAAGAGATGATAAAGAAGGTTAACAGGTTCCCTAGGCAGTAAGATGAGAGAATGGAGAAGATGCGGATGGAAAAAAGAGGGTTTTTGGTGCCTGAAGGAAAAGAAAGATGTGTTCCATAAAGCCAACATTCGACGCTGGTCAACCATTATGGAAGGAAACAAAGGAGCAACTGAAGAAACCGTAGGACGTATAACAGGTATGCACGTTATCGACAGGAGGTGTACGATGTTCAATCCCAGCGTGATAAAAAAAGAGAATTATATGGAAGATGAAATAAGAGATACCCATGAGGCCCGAACCAATACTGCGATTTCCACAATAAATTGGGACATGCCACAACATATTGGAAAAGTTTAAAAAAAAAGAGAAAAGAATAAACTCGACAGGCCGAAATAGGCATTGGCAAATCAGAAGGAGAATGTGGCGTATGATGTTGAAGTACCGGTGCTTTGATCAAATGACAGAATGATGATAATAAAGAAAAGAAGGTGGATGAGTCTGGAATTCGCTCATAACAGTCAGGTACCACCAGATCACGAAGGAACATAGCCGCTTATCGTCAAAATGTCGATAAGGAAAACTCTGATCCATAGGGTATATGTTGACAATGGGAGCTAGGTAAACATTTTATACGAACATTGTTTGGCATGTTTGACAGAAGAAGCGACGGGCTTCATCATGCCTAAACATCATCGGTAGTAGGGTTAGTAGGCCAATCGGTATGGTCGGAGGGAAAGATATCTCTCCCATTCAAGTTAGCAGACTACGAGAGTGGTTTGATGAAAACTATCATGTAAGATTTCATCATAATCAAGGCACCATCCCCGTATAACATGCTCCTTGGAAGGACATGACTGTGGCAACTTCAAGCGGTTCCTTCGACAATTCATGGCCTGCTGAAATTCCCATCGTACCACGATGATATCACCATGAGTAGCATACTTATACGACCTTTTGAACGAATTCGTGCAACATAACATGGGCTAGACTTGTCAAATCCCCTGAAGGAGAGGAATGTCTTGGTAGAAGAAGAAAAAGTGGTGATTAACGTGGAGTACGAAGAGCAGGAGATGAGGATCGGCTCAGACCTACCAGACCCCCTAAAGGAAGGATTAAAGACTCTCCTAAAACCGCACATCGTTGTGTTTGCATGGAAACCCGAAGACATGACGGGTATCCCAAGAACCATAATTGAGCACATGTTAAACATTAATCTGGAGTTCATACCTACAAAGCAAAATAAGCGAATGATGGCTAAATAACAAAGCGAGATAATCAATAAAGAAGTAGAAGACTTGGTCCAAGTGGGGATAGTACGAGAAACCCAGTTCCCAAAATGGATCGTAAATCCTGTCTTGGTGAAGAAGAGCGATGGGACCATGAGAATGTGTGTGGACTTCACCAATATCATTGGGAGGGTACAAATGAAAATCAAATCTAGATGCTTACAAAGGCTATCACCAAGTTTAAATGGCTGAAGATAACGAAGACAAAACGGCCTGCCACACAGAAGGTGACCTTTTTTTATAAAAAAATGTCTTTCAGACTAAGGAATACAAGAGAAACTTATCAAAGGCTGGTCGAAAAAGTTTTTGAGCAACATATAGGGAGAAAAGGTCTCTGAAGGATTGTAACACATTCAATATAACACCATTTTCTATAACATTTCAGCTTTGATATCTCATCTCTGAAGGATTGTAACACATTCAATATAACACCAAAAAAAAACAAAATTATAGTCTAAAATCATCTATAAACTCTAATTTACACGTTGGAAAAAACGCATATCAATCCGACTTAAAACGAATGGAATATGTTTGTTTAAATAATTTCACATAATACAAAAGCTTAAATTTCTTACTGAAAAGGTGAAATATTTCAGCTTTGAAATCTCATCTTTGAAGGATTGTAATTCATTGAATATAACACCAGAAACAACAAAATTATAGTCTAAAATCATCAACAAACTATAAATTACAAGTTGGTAAAAACCGCATGTCAATTCGACTTAAAGCGAATGAGATATGTTTGTTTAAAGAATTTCACAGAATACAAAAGCTTAAATTTCTTGCTGAAAAGTTAAAATATTTCAGCTTTGATATCTCATGTTTGAAGGACTGTAACTCTATGAATATAACACCAAAAACAATAAAATCATAGTCTAAAATCATCTACACACTCTAAATTACATGTTGGAAACACCGC